ATTAGGTGACCTGCAACAGGCCAAGGAGAGTTATGAGCGTGCTCTAGAAATTCAGTTGAAAAAGGTTGGACCCGAGAACAATGATATTGCTCGTGCTTGCAATAACTTGTGTAAGGTACAGCGCACGCAAGATGACCAACAACAGGCCAAGGAGAATTATGAGCGTGCTCTAGACATTTAGATCAAGAAGCTTGGACCTGAGTATGTTGATGTTGCACGTTCTTACAATTACTCTGGTATGGTGCAGCGTACTAGTCTTCACGGAGAAGGACGAATAAACCGTAGGTCCCGTCTCCTGCATCTATTATTTAGTTAATTTGGTGAGGCAGGGGACGTTAAAGAACCCACTCACGAGATTACTGTGATGTGGTCTGGTCTGTTTTCTGGGAATTGCGGGGAGGGGGCATGTATCACCTGGAATTGACTAGCCTGTTCCAGGTCACTTGAGTGACCTGGAACAGGCTAGTGAGTATTTTGTAGGTGCTTGGAGCCTAGCATGATGAAGTCGTGCTCACTTTGAAAACCTCGTGTAATCTAAAGGGTTGCTCGAGTTGCTTGGCACACCACGTCAAGAACGTATAGTTGATGTGAAGAAGATGAAGTTTCGATTGGAGGTAGCACCATGTTTAGACAGAACGTTGGTAGGCACAAGATTAAGAATATTAGGAAATATCATACATAAAGCAATTGGAAAGGAATGGGATCGATGACCCTATTCTTCATGGAATGTCTGATCAGTACATCTGCGTGGATCATCCCACTATCACTACGGAACTGCATTTATGCAATTGATAATGACCACGATTCCTTCCCCTTCTCTCTGCACGTAAATAGTTTTGTTAAGTATAGTTCTACATTTTACTCAGAGCTTTCAGAGCCCTGTTGACGACAGGGATAGTTAGTAAGCTCCCGGAATGTTGTAGATTTATATATTTTTTATTTGCATTTTCCAAGTAGGGGCGTCTGTCTATCATATTATTTTGTACTTTTGCTTTAGGCGCCCGCGCTGCGAACACGACCGGTGAATAGTCTTACTTGACTGATCTCTTGTACTTCTTTATAACAATTTTTCGTCCTATTGCAGCTTTGTTGGGAAAAAAAAGTCAAAACTCGGTTTTCAAATTTTACCTCTTCCGCTTAAATCGGTCCTGAAGAATAAATGCCAGAATGACTTGAGCGAGTTGTAACATTCTTGGTATGCGAAAATGGAAAGGCACGCGTTCTAATATCGGACGGAATCGTCCAAAGTCAGATGTTCCGAAACCGAGCGGAATCTTCAAGAATTGGGCGTTTCCAAATATTGCATGATAAAAAGGTCTTGTCTTAAGTCGAACGCTTTCAAGCAAAAAAAAAAGGGTTCTCGCATGCTTTTTGTTGTCTAGACTAACTATGAACAGCCTTTAGTTGATAACCCAACAAAACACTTGCAAACGGATTAAATGGGAGATTTGGCTGTCACCACTTCACTAAAAAAAAGTCTCTTAAGACGTTAATAATTAAGACAAAACCCTGTTCTCATTGCTCACAAATAAATAGACGAAATGCTTCACTGGAAATTGATTACATGATTCTTTCCTTTAGCTCATTCCTCTATGGAACCCCACAGAAGTCTTTACTTTAAAGAAAAAATGCAGCAATCTATCAACATTAAACCATTTTATCCAAGAAGATAGTTTCACTTCACCTGATGATTTTTTTAATCGATACAACCAATGGAAGTACATATTACTAGCTTTTCAACACCTAAACTGAGCTTGCATGGCTCTGATAAGATAAGCTGAAAGATGTGCACAACAAGTTCTGATTGACATACAAGTGAAAATTAAATTAGCTAGGGCAAAGTATTTTTTCAAACCAACTAGTGCAGAGAAACAATCAATAAACTTTATCCCATATGAGAACAAGTTTTTAGTAAAATTATGTAAATTACTGCAAAACACTATTTTAACTGAACCATAGTTAGTAGAGGGTTCCCCTCTACTAACTATGACTGAACATAATTATTTCAAGCCAAAGTACAAATGTTTGAGACCAGCTAGTAACTTTGGTGGAAAGCCACACAAGTCACTTCACTAAAGAAAAACTATGAAATAATATCCAACATTTTAAGAAACTAAGATACTAAACGAAGAGAACACGAGCAGATGTACTCCTGTCATAAACTTACAGCACAAGCTCTTTATTAGAGTAATTTTATTGCTACTTGGCATGTTCCTTAAGGCTAGGGCAACAAAACAATACAGATCTCAGCCCTTTCACTCCCAAGATCTCATTTGCAATTCTCCTTACTATCTCCCATACAATCCCTAAACTATTGCTTTGGAGAAAGTAGCATTGGATCAATTTATAATCCCTTAACTGATATTCTTCTTTAGTCTCATTACTTGTTTGGTTATGTATTGTATTGATAAAGTGAGGAGAAATTCTGTCTTGATCTCTCTTGGAAGTTAAAGGGTCACACACCTAACTCTGAAAAGCAAAAGCTTTTATACCTTCTACAACATAAAAGGAAAAAAAAATTCACATGCTAAAGGAAAACTGTCATCAAGAACTTACTTTGTATCAAGTTATTGTACAAGTCACTGATATAGGTCTGGTTGTTCAAAACCCTACTTATCAATAATCCTCAGAAACAAAACCAAATTTTTGCCATGACAATTGACACCAGATTAATTTTAGTTGTTCTTCCTGCAACTGAGCCATGCTGCTAAAAAAGTTTAAGGTATTCCAGAGTTCAAAGCACTTTTCTGAAACAACTATGCAAGGCCATGAGTATCATGAATGTGTCCACTCAATTCTCAAACAGCTACTACAGTCTGAACATTAAATTAAGATTTATTTAAGTTGGAAAAAAATTATTTTGAAGTTGAATTTTATTTTGGTCAGACTTTCAATTTCCTTTTCTTGAAATGCATCCACAAAGATTTCCCAAACCAAAAACAGAGGATAATGAAACTTAACAAGTGTATAATAAC